TGCACCTGGGTATTTTCGTCTGGATATTTTTAGTATTTTTTGGGGTTTTGCTTGTGGATTTATCCAGTATTTGTAGAGTTATTTCCCTTGACTTAGTAAAACCTGTTTCATTATGTTGTTATTTGTTCCTTGAGTGCTTGAGTTAGAATGAACCAACTTTACAGGAATAATGATCAACATCACTTAAATATAGGAATAATGATTCACATCACTGTGAAGCTATGCACCTGGGACTTTGCATGTGGATTTTTTTCAGTTTTGTTCGAGTTATTGTCAAGGGCAATAACTCGACTAACAGTAGTATAAATTTGCAATTTTCAACTTGTTCATGCATAGCTCAAAAAGTATTTCACTTGTAGGCCTGAAAGTTTACAAGAATGTTGGTCAGCATGTGTACTTATGCACCTTGGGGTTTGCTTGTGGATTTATCCAGTATTTGTAAAGTTCTTTCCCTTTACTTAGTAAAAGATTTTTAGTTTTCAAAAAATATTTGACCTAGAGTCATAAGATTGACAGAACAGTGGCGCGGTGGGGGCACCCGTGTCCTATGGACACATTTCTAGTGAAACTAAAAATGCTTTTTGTATACACATTGCAAGGTCATAGGTAATATAACAAATTGACTGTCATTAAGGAGGCATAAATGATTCATAAAATTTTTTGCATATATTATTTGGTAAGATTTGTGATAACTTTGTCATAAAATTGCTATACACAGCCTTTACGGTCACAATTACCTAGTGACTAGTCATGACCAGCAGTTAATCTTTATAGATTATTTGGTCACTAGTTCAAAAGTCAGTCATAATAATCTGACCACATGACTGTCGTTAGGGGGCTCAATTCAAATTTGACATATGGATACAGCATTATGCTTGTCAAATTCGAATTTGGTCATGGTCCAATGACTTTAGACAGTCTCAGTTATCCCTCTTGAACTTTGAAAAATAAAGGAAATTTTCAGTTTCTGTTCATTAACAGCTGTACACATCTCAAATTTGACATATTAATACATCATAGGAATAAGCAGGTCAGGTTTGGTTTGGCCATGGTTTGATGATTTTGGACAAAGTTATCCCTCTTGAAGGTTGGAAATTTTGTTGAAATTTTCAGTTTCTGCACTCTTACTTTTTGTAGAATGTATATATAAGGTTGAAATCGCATGTGCGGGTATTTAACCAGAAAATACAAGTCAAGTTAGAATTTGGTTTTGGTCCGTAGCTCTTGTTTCAAGATGATTTAATTGTTACATGACCATCTGCAAAGAATGTATTGAAATAAAATGTAAGTAATGAAAAATGAGTGAAATATGCACAAGTTTCTAACTTTCATGAAACTTGTTAGGATTCAGTATGGTCCTTGAATCGAAAAACAGAATGTCAGAAGAAAAAAAAGTAATGAAATGAAAGGTAAAAAGTGTACTGGATAATAATTAGGCTAGACTTTTGTTAAATGCATCATCATTAGTTGGAAGAGGGATCTATGGTATGCACTTTAAGTATGAATAAATGAATGGTATTTGGTATATATGCATTTTTGGATATTTGTCAATAATATTAATATTCCCTACATTTACCATTACATCTTCAGTTTAATGTTTCTGGGCAATGGAGATAGTACTGCACAAGAGCTTATTATTAAAACAACTTGTACTATTTCAAAAATAAAAATGTAACTAAATTGGTCACAATTATTAGTCCCCTGCTGGTTTAACAGTTTGTACAAACATATAGATACTTACATGTAGGTGGCTATGGGAACAATAGGCAACAGTAAATATTCTTTGATGCTATTCATTCAGTAAGCTCTTATGTGGCTACTTTTTCTCTTACATGGCTAAAAGAAAAATAGAGAGAACAAAAGTACCAAACTTTGAGCACGTCTGTCCGTCAGAAAAAACTTGAACCCCGCGATTACACAAAAAGTACTGAAAATATTTTTATAAAATTTGATAATTATATGGATAGATGGCAGCCTGGAGATTATGCACGTCTTTTTTTTCTTCCTATGTTGAAAACTTTGGTTGCTATGGCAACAAATAGCTTTAAAATATGGCAAATATAACAATATTTGTAATTACTCAAAAAGTAATAAAACTTAAAATATGGATAGATGATAGTAAGGAGATTATGCATATTATTTTAATCTTAACTATAGGGAGTATATTGAGAGCTGTCCTACTCACTGAACGTCGGCTACCTTGTCAAGATTTCTGATTCAAGTTTTTACGCTTTTTCACTATAAGTTCTTAATTTCTGAAGGTATTTACTTTCAACTTCAAATATATGTTTCTTATCATCAACCTTATCATAATGTGACAAGGTTTTCAACTATAACACAAAAATTATCAGAGTTACCCCCCTTGAACTTATAATTTTCATGAAAAAAAAATGTTTTTTAACTTCTTTATTTCTTAATTTATCTGCTTCAAACTTTGTGTGTGTGTATGTGTGTCTGTCTGTCTGCCTGTTTGTGTCTTATTATCACTTAATCATTTGGGAGAAGGTTCAATACTCTAGCTTGACCATTTCCAGAATCCCCCTTGAACTTAGATTGTTTTCAAGAAACTATTATTTTTTACTCAAACTTCTTCATTTCTTATAGCATTTATTCAAACTCCAACATCATAATATAATGACATTAGGGTTATAAATCTAGCGTCCATAAAGATTTACCCTCAAAGTTTCTGTTAGTTTGTCTGTCTGTCTGAAACTGGTTCCTTAGATCACTTTTAAAGAACCTTCATACAAATTTACTTCAAATAGAAAGAAGTTGAAACATTAGTTATAAATATTCATCCTGAGAAAATTGGATTTTGTATAAACATGATTTCATTACTAAGCAGGGAAAATTAACACATTACTTAGATATAGACAAACTAAGAACTCAAAAGATTTAAGTTCATTCATGTCATTCATTCATTCAATGGCATAATTCAATGACCAATGGCCCTTCAGAATGTTGCTTGGGTTCTAACAGGTAGGGGACTTATGGATTGCTTGCAATACTATGATAATTGCTTGTTTTAATACTGTGGCATTAGAAAGTCAGAACATTTCAAAGGAAAGGCTATACGAGGGTTGCCCAAATATTATGTGACAAGATTGTTTAAAAGCTAAGTAAAATAGGTACGCATCTTAAATTTTAATATGCTATAAACCCATATAATTGAAACATTTTTGCAAATGGCAACTATCAGAATCGCGGCGCATGTCAAAAGTCAAAAACGGCGTTAAATCTATATAAGGCGCCTATCTCAAATACTTTCAATGGCTGGAAACGCAATAATGGTACCGGTGCAGCTTTACCCATAAATCGTCAATTACAAACTTAAATCAATTGTGGTTGTTAATGTCTGTACAGGGCCTTTTTACCCTTCTTTGCTGTAGCCTGTATCAGGCTACTTCCCCAATCCAAATTACTACCTTTTTTCCCCAAAAAACAGTCTAAAATTCCCCTTCTGGCAAATTTTTCCCCTTTAACTGAAGAATAAAACTTGTAAACAAACTTTCTAGTTTAAAAATAGATAATTGTTTTGTCCAATGAAAGCTTATAATTCAATAACCCAATAGAGGGATACCTTGATTTAATACAATTGATGTTAACTCAGAGCCTCAGTTTGAGTTTGCAACTTTCTAAAAACAGCATGGGAAATCCCTGCTGCCTTATTTTTTAGTGCACAAATGACATGTGATTTGTTACGACTATATGGCGACCGATACGATGTCACTTATGTAAACAATGTCACAGAACAAGAAGAAAATACGATTGAGTGACGTTTGTAATCGTTTATTAAAAATTGGTTGAATTGATGACCTTGTTAGTGCAAGCCCATGTGTCCGAGTAGCACAACATGCCCAACTGTTGGAAATAGCGAGCCTAGCACATCAGTGCCAGTAATACAGTGTAAACTGATAATAATGTACCCTCTGAATCAAACCAAGAACCCTCACATGACCAACGTAAAATACTATAAATAGGAAATATGAGTTAATATAAAGGGGCAATAAATTGATCTGTAAAAAATGTCTTTTACTCCTTTTGGACAGAAAGCTTAGTACTATAGTAAACCTTAAATGTGATTGGAGGAAGATATGCAAATAAATTATGATATTCCCCCGAAATGTGTGAAAATATGATATTTTCCCCAAAAGTGTGAAAATCGCGCATTTTTTCCCCACAAAAAGGGCTAGGGCGCCTTCCCCAAAACTAGTGAAAAGGCCCTGCTGTAGAATGTTAGGATGGCATACATTAAATTTTGTTATACGCGAACTTTCGGTCTCGGTGCACCTGCTTTTAGCTGTAGGAAATAGGCGACAGAGATCAGTCTTCCTAACCGTGTTTTCCTTATTTTCGCTTTTTGTAGCGTAGAACTCTGGTTCCGTTCATGCCTTTAGTAAAAAAATGCTCAGGATATGTTGCTAAACTGTTTTATTTTGGTATATTTGTTGAAAATCATAACATGTGTCATCTCGAAATAGTCACGAAACTTGAGTGACCTATTCACTGCGCCGCAAATTCTTCGAACGTCGCCATTTTAACGTTCCTATTTTCTATGAGATATTTTCATTTAATGGTAACTTGTTGTTTCTTAAGTTATTTAACTAAAATTTTCTGAGATGATGTAAACATAGCAGCAGAGCAAGTCAATATGACATTGTGCATACACATCATCAGATATTTGATATATACGTAATTAAGTTTAGCCTATTCATAACAAAATGCAAATTATTTGATGTGCGCCGGCAACTCAAACCAATGTCGTTAATACTGAAAATTTCTAAGTAACTAGAGTAAATATTTTGTAAATGATTTGTTGTAATGTTAAATAATAAACTAAATGGTTATATGTGTGAATTATTATCTATAAGCGTTAAAAATGAACCGTCTATAAAATTTGTCACGGACTTTTGGGACAACCCTCGTATATTTTAAAAATCCAGTTGAGTTGGGAGGTTTTTAATTAATTTTACATTGTGAACTTTATTGTTATCTTACAGAAAACTCATCAAGAAATTGCAGATGAACTTGGACATCACATTGTAGAGTGCAGACCAGAGACTGACTATTTTCCAGTTATTAAAGCATCCCCCTCAGAGAATGCGGAAAAAAATGATTTTGTTAAACAAGATGGATTTGACTTCGATTCATATTGCTTTAATAATAAACTGCCTCTGAAGAAGTATGGTAAAAGGCCATTTTATTGGTTCTTGCCAGCATTTAAGGACAGGAAAGCCAGAGACTACCAAAGACGGAATCAGCCAAAGGCTATGATAGATAGAATGGTGCTTGGCTTGCAACCAGAGTTTAAAAGATTGAAATAAGACTTCAAAAAAAAACAAAAAACAAAAAAGACAAAACAAAAAAACAGAAAACAGAAAAAGAGTTGATTAAACATAATAAGAAAGTAAGTTAGAAAAAATAAAGTTGATAGGTGGATATATATGTACTTTTTGTCTGTATATCACTAACTTTACTTGTTGAATTTTAAGCTCACCTGAGCTGGCTTAGTATGAGTTTTAAGCTTACCTGTCACAAAATGACATGGTGAGCTTTTGTTATCGCTTTTTGTCCGGCGTCCCTTCATCCGTAAACTTTTACTTTAAACAATATATCCTCATAAACCGCTAAGCCAATCTCGTCCAAACTTACAAGAATGTTCCTTTGGTGGTCACCTTTAAAAATTGTTCAAAGAATTTTATTCCATGCAAAACTCTGGTTGCCATGGCAACCGAAAAGAAAACGACTTAAAATATTTTATTTTAAAAAAAACCAAATAGCTAGAGCTTAGATATAAAGCATGAAATATCTTCTAGTAAGTGTGTACCAAGTTTGTTCAAATAAAAGCCCTGGGGTCAAAATTGGCCCTGCCCTAGGGGGTCATTGATTTTCCTAATATGTATATATTAAAAACTTAAGAAATCTTCTTTTAAAAAAACTCAAAGAGCTAGAGCATGAAACATCTTCTATTGACTGTCTGCCAAGTTTGTTCAAATAAAAGCCCTGGGGTCAAAATTGGCCCTGCCCTAGGGGGTCATTGATTTTTCTAATATGTATATAGTAAAAACTAAAAAAAGTCTTCTTTTTAAAAACCCAAATAGCTATAGCATAGATATGTGGCATGAAACATCTTCAAGTGAGTGTCTACCAAGTTTGTTCAAATAAAAGCCCTGTTGTCAAAATTGGTCTGTCCCAAAAGAAGAAGTTTGTTCAATAAAAGCCCTGTTGTCAAAATTGTCCGGGAGGGTTATTGATTTTCCTTAAATGTATATATCAAAAAGTTAAAAAATCTTCTTTTAAAAAACCCAAATACCTAGCTTAGATATAAAGCATGAAACATCTACTAATGGGTGTCTACCAAGTTCGTTCAAATAAGCCCTGGGTCAAAATTGGCCCAGCCCCAGCGGCTCATTGGTTTTCCTCATATTTATATAGTAAAAACAAAAAAGGCTTCTTTTAAAAAACCCAAAGAGATAGAACTTAGCTATTTTGCATGAACTATCTTCTAGTGAGTGTCTACCAACCAATTTATAGGGGGAAAAAAACCTGGGGTCAAAATTGGTCCTGCCCAGGGTGGTCATTGATTTTCTTAATATTTGTGTAGTACAAACAAACAAAAAATCTTTTTTTTAAAAGACCCAAATAAACAAGTATTCTGATTCAGGTGAGTGATTTAGGGCCATCATGGCCCTCTTGTTACGATCTTTGATTGTCCATCATCTGTTGTCTGCCCACATTTAGTTTGTAAACACTTTAGTAGTCACATTTTTGCCTCAATTATCATCAAATTTGGTCAGATTGTTTGTCCAAGAAATTGCTTAGACAAGTTACTAGTATAAACATGGGTTATCTTGAATGGAAAACTAGGTCACTTGAGCCAAAAATAGAAAAATCTTGTTAACACTCTAGTGATATTTTGGGCCAAATATTTTGGAAATTTGCCTAAAATGTTGTTTTGATGATTACTAGACCAAGCCAAGTTCGAATATGGGTCATCTGGGGCCAAAAACTAGGTCACGAAGCCCTAATATGGAAAAACCTTGTTGATACTATAAATGTAATATTTTCAGCCTAAATATCCCGGAAATTTGTCAGCAAGATTGTTTAAATGATTTCTAGGTCAATTTCGAATGCTGGTCATCTAGGGTCAAACCTAGGTGACAGTTCATGTATGGAACAACCTTCTTTATATTTGCACTATTTCAGGTGCAGATATGAACATTAAGATGATAGTTTACAGGGCTCGAGATAAGATGCGTATATGGGTAAATTACGCATGAAAATAACAGGTTTACACCACAGGCCAACTGCACATTAATGGTCAAATTATCATAAAGTAAACACCCCTTGATCATCAACTACAAAATTACTATCCAGCACCCGTTTACTATGTAATATATAATTATATATACAAGGTATGTAACTCGATGTAGTGTAATCACCCGATGCGGTCAATATTTTCCTCCTGCATTTTTTTAATATGACACATTATCCTACTTAAATGTAAAGCATAACACAATAGATATATCTTTTGGTAACGGTTAAAAATATTGAGCCATCTATCTTCATTTACGATAAATGAATTATCAAACGTGAAAAAATTACCTTAAAATTGCGAGGTCGACATGTTTTGTGCCACGGAAATTTCCAAAAATACTAGGAGTAAACATACATTTAGCTGCTTGCCACTCGTAAGAAATACTGTTGGAAAAAGGCGTAAATGAAACAAACAAACAAAGCCACTCGTAAGAAAGTAAAACTTTTGTTGAGTTTCCCTCATTTTCGTTCTTTCAAAACATCAAAGTTAAATCAATTTTGCCTAAAATACTAAATTCCAAACAGCAGAGGATGACTTACTACCCACCCATTTGTGGGACTGTAAGCCAATCAGAGTGTCTTGTGTTACGGAAGTGAGAACAGAAAAACAGCGTAAACAACAAGAGGGCCATGATGGCCCTGAGGTCGCTCACCTGTATATAGCCCCCCCCCCCCCCCCTCACACACACACACCCATAAGAAGATGTTTCATGCTAAACATCTAAGCTCTAGCTCATTGGGCTTTTTAAAAGAAGATTTTTTAAAGTTTTTACTATACACATATAGTTAAAAACAATGACACCCCTGGGGCGGGGCCAGTTTTGACCCCAGGGCTTTTATTTGAACAAACATTGTAGACACTTACTAGAAGATGTTTCATGCCAAATATCTAAACTCTAGCTATTTGGGTTTTTTTCAAAGAAGATTTTAAGTTTTTGCTATACACATATAAGGAAAATCAATCATGAATGACCCCCGGGGCGGGGCCAATTTTGACCCCAGGGCTTTTATTTGAACAAACTTGGTAGACACCTATTAGAACATGTTTGATGCTAAATATCTAAACTCTAGCTATTTGGGTTTTTTCAAAGAAGATTTTTAAGTTTTTACTATATGCATAAAGGGGAAAATCGATGACCCCCGGGGCGGGGCCAATTTTGACCCAGGGCTTTTATTTGAACAAACTTGGTAGACACCTATTAGAACATGTTTGATGCTAAATATCTTAGCTCTAGCTCTTTGAGTTCTTTAAAAGAAGATTTTTATGCCCCCACAATGTGGGAGCATATAGCGTTGCACTTGTCCGTCAATCCGTCAGTCAGTCCGTCCGTACGTCCCAAAATCTTGTGAACGCAACTCCTCTTAAACCGGATGGCAGATTTTGCTTAAACTTACAGGGATGAACAACCTTAATGTGTAGATGGTAGTTAAGGAAGGAATTTTCGCTGCGAATCTTCTTTTTAAAGAACCAAAAGAGTTAGAGCTAAGATATTTAGCATGAAACATGTTTTAATAAGTTATTACCAAGTTTGTTCAAATAAAAGCCCCGGGGTCAAAATTGGCCCCGCCCCGGGGGGTCATTTATTTTCCCTATATGCATATAGTAAAAACTTAAAAAATCTTCTTTTAAAGAACTCAAAGAGCTATGGCTAAGATATTGAGCATCAAACATGTTCTTATAGGTGTCTACCAAGTTTGTTCAAATAAAAGCCCTTGGGTCAAAATTGGCACCGCCCTGGGGGGTCATTGATTTTCCTTATATGTGTACAGCAAAACTTAAAAAATCTTCTTTGAAAAAACCCAAATAGCTAGAGTTAAGATATTAAGCATGAAACATCTTTTAGTGAGTGTTTACAAAGTTTGTTCAAATAAAAGACCTGGGGTCAAAATTGGCCCCGCCCTGGGGGTCATTGATTTTCTTTATATGTGTATAGCAAAAACTTAAAATCTTCTTTGAAAAAACCCAAATAGCTAGAGTTTAGATATTAAGCATGAAACATCTTCTAGTAAGTGTCTACAAAGTTTGTTCAAATAAAAGCCCTTGGGTCAAAACTGGCCCGGCCCCAGGGGTGTCATTGTTTTTAACTATATGTGTATAGTAAAAACTTTAAAAAAATCTTCTTTTAAAAAGCTTAATGAGCTAGAGCTTAGATGTTTAGCATGAAACATTTTCTTATGGGTGTCTACCAAGTTTGTGCAAATAAAAGCCCTTGGGTTAAATTGGCCCTGCAACGTTGGGGGGGGGGATGGGCGTTGGGGGGGCCTATATACAGGTGAGCGACCTCAGGGCCATCATGGCCCTCTTGTTTTCTTTCATTACTGATAGTATTAAGGTCTTTAGTAATAATGCCCACTTGTTTAAATGAACATCGTTTATCTTATACACGTTAATGGATGAACCCAGAACCCAAGCCAAGGTCACTCTTGTGGGACAAATATCAGACAATTGTGTGTCTGCTCTGTAAATTCTTTACCCTTTAAACTTGGATCAAATGTTCACCTCAGCAATGTTGTGTACAGAATCCATGCTGTATATATTAATATGTAATGGGTGCAATGAATTTTATATTTGGCAAACTGGGGATAGACTCGGAAACAGAATAACTGTTCATAAACAGCAAATAAGGGACCCATCGATATGACAAATTCCTTTAAGTACACATTTATATCTTTGTTGTAACAGTACTCATCAATTTTCCATATGGCTGCTTTATTAGCTCACCTGAGCACAAAGTGCTCAAGGTGAGCTTTTGTGATCACAATTTGTGCGGTGTCCATTGTCAGCCCGTGCGTCTGTCAACTTTTTATACAAACAACTTCTTCTGGACAAATGTGATGAAATTTTCATTGGATGTTCCTAGCATGAAGCTCTACTAAAATTGTTCAAATGGTTCTGCTTAATTGAGCATCTAGGTCAGGAAATCTTAAATTAGATTTTTGAAATGAAATCTCCTCTGAAAGTGCAAGGCCTAGAGCTAGATATTTTGTATGTGGAATCATGTAATGAAACTCTATAAACATTCTTCAAATCAAAATTGGCCTTGCCCCAGTGGGTCATTGATTTTCCTTATATGTATATAGTTAAAACTTAAAAAATCTTTTTGTAAAACATCAAAAAAGAGCTGGAGCTTA